CCCTTAGCCAGATTCCAAAAATGCCTACAGCAACTCCAAAACCGCTCCCTCGCAAGGGGAGCTGAAACAGAGGAGACTTCCCATTGGAAGGGGCCAGTCATCGTAGCCAATTATGTTAAAAGACCCTCCTTCGAATATCCACGCCACCACGTGGACATGGTGCTTGTCCTTCCAGGCCTTGGAAGCAAGAGATTCCGAAGTTTCCGAGACATTAGCTTCAACGTCGATTTGCTCTCTGACAAGAGCAATGACATTTTAGAAAACAAATTAATGTTTAATTTACCAATAAAAGTATGATAACAGAAAGGAAAACATTAACTGAAGAGTGGAAAGATAAAGTGGAGAAATCCTCCAGAAATTGGGGGGGGGGGGAAATAAAGATGTAGAAAATAAAAATAAATAGAAGGATATTAAAAAATCAGCCCAAATGGTCCATCGTCCACACAGCGGGAGTTCCAGAAGATAGGACAGGAAACAGAGAAGAGGGCTTCTTGAAGAAATCATTGCAGGGGACTTCCGACACCGCAGGGGTCATTGTGCGTCTAGGCCAGTGATGGCGAACCTTTTGAGCTCGGCGTGTCAGCATTTTGAAAAACCCTAACTTAACTCTGGTGCCGTGTCACATATAGAAATTTTTTGATATTTGCAGCCATAGTAAAACAAAGATTTATATTTTTGAAATTTATTTTATATATTTAAATGCCATTTAACTGCTGGGGTCCAACCCCAGCAGGTCCAGGGGTCCCCAAAGGTGTGGACGGAGTCGGCGAAGAAGGAATGACACGGAGACAGCGTTCAGTTGATCAGCAGCCTAGCCAGGATCTCTAGCCAGGATCTCCAGCCAAGTTCTGTTCAGGATCTCCAGCGAAGTTCTGGTTAGGATCTCCAGCCAGGTTCTGTAGCCATGTTCCCTCGCTAGGTTCTCCAGCCAAGTTCTATCCAGGTTCTCTAGCCAGATTCAGTCACCAGGTTCTAGTCAGGTTCTCCTGCCATGTTCTATCCAGGTCCTGTAGCCAGGTTCTGTCTCTAGGTTCTTCAGTCAGGTTCTCTCGCTAGGTTCTGTCTCTAGGTTCTGTTGCCAGTTTCTGTCCAGGATCTTTTGCCATGTTCTCTCCAGCGAAGTTCTTCTGTCTCTAGGTTCTGTGTAGGTTCTGTGTGTAGGTTCTGTGTCTAGGTTCTGTCTAGGTTCTGTGTCCTGTTGTCTTGTTACATCTGTATTTATACCAGTTGATTCCAATCCTATCAATCTCTATTCCAAAGGTTAGGGCATTTCTTATCTCCATTCCAGGGAGTAAAGATTATGTAGCTTAAGCATGATTGTTCGTAGTTAAAGTGATTAATTACCCGCCTGGCACTTAGGTAAGGGGTTTTATTCACTCCCTAACTTCAGGGGAAAATCCCTACCTGGGGAAATAACCTTTCTCAAGAGAGGTGACCTTGGTTAAAACACATAGTGCCAAGAAGGTGAGCAAACATATTAAGAACAGTATGCCATATATGCCAGGTCCCTTGAAATAGCAAGGATGGACCGGCTCCCGGCATTTAACAAAGAAAAATCAACCAAAAAAAATGAGTTCGCGTGTCACCTCTGACATGCGTGTCATAGGTTTGCCGCCATCACTGGTCTAGGACAAAGCTCAGAAATCGAGGCGTCTGCCCTAACTGGTTTGGCTCAGTGGATAGAGCGTCGGCCTGCAGACTCAAGGGTCCCAGGTTAGATTCTGGCCAATGGGCACGTACCCAGTGGGGAGTGTGCAGGAGGCAGCTGATCGATGTTTCTCTCTCTCATCGATGTTTCTAACTCTCTATCCCTCTCCCTTCCTCTCTGTAAAAAATCAATAAAATATATTTTTTTAAAAAAAGAAAAGAAATCGAGGCGTCTGCTAGTACAGTTCAGTCCTTCAGCATGGTGGGCATAGAAGGTTCTAGAAACACCCAGAGGAGAAAGAAGTAGCTGTAGGTGAAGCTCTGGAGTAAGAACAGCTCTGGGCTTTTCATCAGCGGCACCAGAAATCAAAAGACAAGGCAGCGACGCCTTCGGAGTTCCCAGGGAAAGTTACAACCTACAACTCTATACTCAGCCAAATTATTAGTCAAGTGTAAACACTGAATTTTTAAAATATCAGACAGGCATAGATTTAGAAAGTTTATAACAAGCAGGTTTTTGAAAGGATAAGTGATTAATGCCTCTTTAACATGGCAGAAAATCCATAGTACTGTTTAAAATGCTAATGGGGAAGTGGAGGAGTGAAACACTGGCTGTAGGGATTTGCAAGTCACCATCCATAAGACTTCAACGTGGTTGGGAGGCTCAGCGGACCAGAGTGCCTCCGAGGAGTGTGTTCTGCCTTTCAAGTTTGCACTGTTTGTTTGTTTTTAAACCATGTGCCTGTCTTAATTTGATTAAAAATAATTTAATTTGAAAGTCACAAAGGCAGTGAGTGGAAAGATGGACAGTGGATAGAGGTGGAGGGTGAAGAATTTCCTCTGTCCTGTGGAAGATGCTTTATACACACGCAGCTCTACTCCTCCCCACGGCGTGAGAGGGAGGTGGCATTGTGCCCCGGAGAGGTGAGGAAAGCGAGGCTCAAGGCAGTTCCAAGACCTTGCTCAGAGTCACGCCGCTGGAAACGGGCCGCGCTCAGGCTGGCCCCAAGTCTGCCGTCCCCGCCACATAGTTTTGCATGTTGGCAAGGAAGAGGAGAAAGAGAGACCCTCTTGGAACCTAGCATAAGAAAAGGCAGTGAGAGGGAGCAGGAGTAACTGAGCTGAGTCTTAGGAAGGTGGGCAGCGGCGGAGCACAGCGACACGGGGAGAGCTTGCCCAGGGCGGGAGACACTGTGGAGGGCGGTGAGGGGGGAAGCTGTTATTGAGCTGGAACTTCGGGAGGAGGGAATGGAAGGGTGATAATGGTTCTCCAGAAGCAGGAGGCTAGTGAGGCTATGCATACAGGAGAAGGGGAGGGGAGCCTGGGCTCTAACCTGGGATTGCGGGGAGTAGAGTTAGCAAATAGCACAGCTCTCCCGCCCAGCTGGTGTGGCTCAGTGGTTGAGTGCCCACCCAGGAACTGAGAGGTCACTGGTTTGATTCCAGGTCAGAGCCCATGCCTGGGTTGCAGGCTGGATCCCCAGTAGGGGGTGCAGGAGGCAGCCGATCAGTGATGTGCCACTCTCATTGATGTTTCTATCTCTCTGTCCTTCTCCCTTCCATTCTCTCTCAAAATCAGTAAAGGAAAAAACATTTAAAAAGTATCGCTCTTCTAGTTAAATTTAAATTAACAAGTCATTGTTTTTTTGTTTTGTTTTTTAGCATATGTCCCAAATGGCGCATGGTATTTTCTCTGGAGAGCCTCACAGAGACACACGGAAGCATGCATAAAGAACAGCAACGCTGCTTTGAAATCCGAGATTTGGAGTGGGGCTATCCCAGAGTGACATGGTCATCAGGCTGTCCAGGTGCCATGGGAAGTAAGGTAGGAATACTGGGCGTGGCTTCCAGGCAGCAGTGGAAGGGGAGCCGGGCGAGCGGCCAGGGGATGGCTTGAGGATGAGATTCTTAGGGCCTCTCCTGAGAGTCCTGGGAAGAGGCATGTGTGGGAACCGGAGACGGGGAATTGGCAGGGAAGCCATTGCTGCAAATAGCTCTGCTTCCCTTCTCCTTCTGCCTGGTGGTCATCTGTATTTTACATCCCGTCAGTGTGGATTAAGGGCGAGCATCGCTAAGTAATCATGTGCCAGGTTGAAACACGGGGTCAGTATCAGTAACCTGGTCCTCACCAGCCGTGCTCACAGGAGAAGGACAGACTCCGCGCTGCCATCTTCCGCAGGTGTGAGGTTCCACCTGGGGGTCTGCAGTGGTGGTTAAGGACCCTTAGCCCATCCATGGTCGGTCACAGCCCACGTTCACCAAGCGGCTTCATATGCCTGGACTTGGTTTCCTGGTTTGTAAAATTAGCACAAGAATAGCACTTAACTTGAGGGTCATTGTGAAGATCATATAAGTTAGTATGTGTCACACTTGGAATCTGGAATACAAATACTGAAAGTATTACAGGTAGATGAGAGGTTTTTATAAAAAGGCACAGTCGGCAAGACATTCATGGGGTTGGGACTGGATAAGTGGGCAGAGCACAGAGGACTTTCAGGGCAGTGAAAATACTCGTGATACCGTGCGATGGATACGTGTCAGTATACATTGGTCCAAACCCATAGGCTGCACAGCAACCTCAAGAGGGAACCCTGAGGTAAGCCATGGACTTGGGTGATAATGACGCCCGCCATGTTCCGCGCCGCCCCCTGGTGGTCAGCGCATGTCATAGCCAGCGGTCAAACTCCCTGTGGAACAATTGGCATTTGGGGCCTTTATGATATAAGATAGGTAAGTCCTCAGACCCAATCAGAGGCGTCTGAGAGTCCCTGCTGTTTCCAGGCTGTGCGCGCTGTGAGGCTGTTGAACTTGTGGGTAGGCGTTTGGTGATTGACAGGGCTTTCAGACAGCTGTGAATTAACCGACACTTGGCGTCTTCTTTTGCAAACTCATAAGATTCCATAAGCCAGGGGTCTGTTGTTTATTCACCAAGCCTCCTTCTGAGTCATTCAGGTACAGGGCGTGTCTGATTGAAACTGCGCAGCGGAGACCTTCTGCATTCACATCTGCAGGGATGGGAAGCGGTGAGGCCAGGCGCTGGGTGGGACGGGCCTTGCTGCAGGGCGCAGGCAACGTGCCCTGCGCCCGTCACACAGCTGAGCTGACCAAGGCACCTCTCAGTCTCAAGTTCAGAGGTAGCTGCTAAGAGCTAGGAAAGAGTGGGCGAGTTGTGAACACTGAGGTTTGGGGGCGCCTCCCAAGTAGAAGGGACGCGAAGCGCGCCGGCCCCCAACTGGGCGGCAGCAGGCCCTGCGGGGTTAGGGCTGGGCTCTTCCCCTTGGAACTTCCTGAGCTGCCCGAGCTTTAGAAAACATAGCGGGCCGGGCAGCTGCCCACCTCCTCAGAGGCCTCTCGCCGCTGGCCAGAATCTGGGGCACGCGGCCTGCCTGGGCGCCCAGCTGAGGGAGGGGAACCCCCACAGCACCTCGCCAGACGCTGGCCCTTTTCACCCTGCGCCCCGGGAAAGCCACTTTCTGCCCCTCAGACCGCAAGTTTCGAGGCTGCAGCGGGATGGGTGGGCGTGGAGGTGGGGAGAAGGGGAGGAACATCCGGCATCCCCCTCCAGGGCCCCTCGCTCCCCAGGCCTCGCAGCCCCATCGCCAGATCGCCGGCTCCTGTTTCCCCGCCCCCGCGCAGCGGCCGGGGCGCCTGGCCACAACCTCGGACGGATCCCCGAGGACGGCCTGGGCAGGAGACCAGGGAGGTGGCTGCCCGACAGTCCTCTGCCCCCTCGGGCTTTCGGGAGGAAAGTTCCCAAAGGCCCTCTGCCGCCTCCCCTCCCGAGCTGGGCGGTGGTGCGATTTATAGAGTCCGGGGGCACCAGGCTCCGCCCCTCTGTCGTCGGGGGTGGGGTGGGAAGGCTCTATCAGCTTCTGCCCCAGATCTTTCCTGGACAGAGAGTCTCAGCAGCCCAGATCCGATCGGGGCCGCGGCCGGCGCGGGGAGGGCGTGGGAGCTCGGGGCTGCCTCTCCCCGCCTCTTCCTCAGAGGTGCTGGCTGACCGCAGCTGGCGGCCCGCGGCAGAGGGCTGGCCCATGGAGCATGCGGCTGCGGAGGGAGGGGACCCCGACTCCGCAAGTTTCTGCGCGGCGCTGCCAGCCTCAGGCAGAGCAAGATGACGGGCGCGCGGCGCGGACCCAGAGCTCCCCGAACGCCACTCCGTCCCGCCTGAGCGAGGTAGGGCGTGGGCCGGGCTGGCCGTCCCAAACGCGCTGTCAGACCCGGAGGAAGCCGAACAAAAACTTTCCAAGCGCCCATCTCCGGGCGCTGGAAACAGGCATCTCGGGGCCACGGAGGAGCCCGCCGCTGGGCTGCGCTCGGGCGCTAGTGATTTCTCGGAAAGGGGTCAAGTTCCAACTGTAGAACCGGCTCGTGTGGGAGGTGGTGGAAGCTGCCGGGGGTCGGAGGGCAAGGGGTGAAGGCGCTTATTTTTGGAAACGCTAGAAACAAAGAGTATTGAGGTGGGGTGGGGGTGGGGTTAGGGCTTAAGCTTGCACCGCGGGCGGGCGCGGAGAGTGGGGGGACCCTGGGGCTCTGGGGCCCGCAGCCTCTCCTGCCCCAGGACGGGTGGGAGCCCTCTCGCCTCAGTTACTCCGCTTTTATCTGGTTGCCGCGCTGCCTCGCAACACTTAACTTACAGGTAGACTTCTGCTAACCGGGCCACGCTGCGTTCCCCGCACACTTTCTAGACCTCTGAGCAGGCGGCAAGGTGCCGGGGGAGGAGGTGAATAAAACCGCCCGTAGCGTAGCCGAGAGCCCGGCGCCCCTCCTGTGAGCGGCTGCAGGGCGGTTTGCACGGCCCGGGCTGGGGCGGCACGCCTGCTATCAGGAGCCTGCGGGCTATTCCCACCCGAACTAGAAACTCCGTATGCAACTGAGGGCCACAGGGACCTCTGGGGCTATTGCCATCTCACCGGCACCGGCACCGCGAGAGGCTCTCGCGTTGGCTCCGGAGAAAAAGAAGAAAGTTGCTTGACGGAGGCGCCCAGTTTCCCTGTTCATGCTGGGCCAGGGCAGGTTTGGCTGCCCTGCGGACCCTAGACACACCTCTCCCGGGGTCATTAATAGAGCCCCCAAACCTGACTGTCCCCCCAAAACCTGACTGTCCCCCCAAAACCTGACTGTCCAGTGACTTTCCTGCCGGCCTGATTGCTCGTGGCCGTGAGGGGCGGCTCTGCTCTCAGGCTGGGCATCTCCACCCTCGTTTGGGTTTGGGTTTGGGTCTCCGAGGAGCCGGAGAGCGTGTGAGCCCCCGCCGGGCGGTGACTGTTCTAGGCGCCGCCTGGGAACTGGCGGGGTGCGGGGGTGGGAATCAGAAGGTGGCGGTGGGGTTCGCTTCCCCACTGTTCCCGTTTCCGTTGGAGTGAATGTGACCACGGGGAGAATTTTCGTCTTGTTGAGTCGGAGTTTTCAGTTGGGGCAATTTTTTGTTGTCCTTTCTCCCTCTCTTTCTTCCTCTCTTTCTTCCCTTCCTTCCTTTAAAAAAAATTTTTTTTTTGCAAGGGATGAGAGTTTGATTTTTTTAAATCCCTCTCTCTGCGCTCTCCCCACGTTTCCTTTAAAGAAATAAACAAAACGAGCAGGGCCTCGGCGAGAATGAGTTGTGCCTGTGGCTCTCCTGACTCTCTTTGTAACTCGTTTAAGGCTGCGGTTCCCGAGGCCCTGTCCAGCCTGGAGACGCGGAAAGCCGGGACCTCTGACTTCCAAGCTCTCCGCCTCCGCCGCGCCCTCCAGCGCCCTCTAGCGTCCGCCGGGGCAGCGCCGCCCGGGAAAGGCCCCGGACGCCGGGCGCGCCATGGGGTCCACCAGCAGCGTGCTCTCGGACTACTCCAACTATGACATCATCATCCGGCATTACAACTACACGGGGAAGCTGAATCTGGGCCAGGACAAGGACAGCGGCCTCAAGGTGACGTCCGCCGTGTTCATCCTCATCTGCTGCTGCATCATCCTGGAGAACATCTTCGTCTTGCTGACCATTTGGAAAACCAAGAAGTTCCACCGGCCCATGTACTACTTCATCGGCAACCTGGCCCTCTCGGACCTGCTGGCGGGGGTGGCCTACATCATGAACCTGCTCTTCTCCGGGGCCAACACCTACAAGCTGACGCCCGCGCAGTGGTTCCTGCGCGAGGGCAGCATGTTCGTGGCGCTGTCCGCGTCCGTGTTCAGCCTGCTGGCCATCGCCATCGAGCGCTACATCACCATGCTGAAGATGAAGCTGCACCACGAGAGCAGCAGCTCGCGCTCCTTCCTGCTCATCAGCGCCTGCTGGGTCATCTCGCTGGTGCTGGGCGGCCTGCCCATCATGGGCTGGAACTGCCTCGGCCTGCTGCCCAGCTGCTCCACGGTGCTGCCGCTCTACCACAAGCACTATATCCTCTTCTGCACCACGGTCTTCACCGTGCTGCTGCTCTCCATCGTCATCCTCTACTGCCGGATCTACTCGCTGGTGCGCACGCGCAGCCGCCGCCTGACCTTCCGCAAGAACGCGTCCAAGGCCAGCCGCAGCTCGGAGAAGTCGCTGGCCCTGCTCAAGACGGTGATCATCGTGCTGAGCGTCTTCATCGCCTGCTGGGCGCCGCTCTTCATCCTGCTGCTGCTGGACGTGGGCTGCAAGGTGAGGACCTGCGACATCCTCTTCAAGGCCGAGTACTTCCTGGTGCTGGCGGTGCTCAACTCGGGCACCAACCCCATCATCTACACGCTCACCAACAAGGAGATGCGCCGCGCCTTCATCCGCATCATGTCCTGCTGCCGGTGCCCCAGCACCGACACCCCCGGCAAGTTCAAGCGCCCCATCATCGCCGGCGTGGAGTTCAGCCGCAGCAAGTCCGACAACTCCTCGCACCCCCAGAAGGACGACGGGGACAACCCAGAAACCATCATGTCGTCTGGGAACGTCAACTCTTCTTCCTAAAACGGGAAGCAGCCAGCCCATGGGGAGTGTTCTTGCATGGTCACCCACCGCCCAGTGTTTGGAAAAACATCTCCGTGCCTGGTGCCTGGACTGCTGCCAGGGTGGAGCTGCCGGAGCCGGAGCCGGAGGGGGGGCGGGGCGAGCGAAGGGCCCGTGACGCCGGGTGGGGTCGGAGGGTACAGTGAGTCCTGTGAACAATGCGCCGGGAAGGGTGGAGAGCGGTCCGCGGGCCTGGAGTCTGCTTCCTCTCCCTGAGCTTTGATTTTGCACTGAGCCAGAGGTTAGCATTGCCCAGCTCCCTAAGGCTTCGCTCAGCCCCTCCTCGAAGACCAAGGTCACCTTGGAGAGTGTCGCCTGGAGCTTTGAGGAGAAGGTGTTTTTTCACTTGAGTTTCCAGCCACGTGTGCACTTCTGCTTCTCTAGGGATGCTCCAGCCCCCACTCCACCCCCCCTTCCCCTGCACAACCTCCTCAACATCCTCCGACTGGGCGTCATCAGAGCTGGGGTGGCCTGGTCCATTTCTCCAGCATCTGTGGCTGGTGGGCTGTGTCCAGGAAGCAGACGGAGGAGCTGGAGACGGTTCGGACATGGGAGGCAGTTTCATTTGCTGAGGCCAAAGTTTCCACGCAAGATGGATCCGTTGTTTTTGGAATTTGGTTGTAGTCACTTTGAGGTTTTTTGGGTTTTTTTTTACATCTTTACAATGGAATGCGTTACAGTATCCTGCCATTGTGCCTGAAATCTGCATGGGGAAGCCCAGCTTATCTAAAGGTGTCAGCCAGGATCCTTCGTGTCCCAGGGGAAACAAAGGCCCCACACAAGGAGAAAACCCGCTGCGGGGGCCAGGGAACTTTGTAAACCAGGAGGGATTTCCTAACGAATTTGCCTAACAGATGCAACATCGGTCTTTGGCACTTTTGTTGATGTTAATTATGGAGTGTGTGTGAAGCATTTCAGCCAATGGTTGTATCTTGTTGTGTTAAAAGTACCCTTCATGATGTTTGAATGTATTTGTTTCAGCATTTTATTGGATTTTCCTAACCTGTGTTAACACCATTGAATGTGTATTTCTTAAGAAAGTATCACCCTCTTATGCCCTTAAAGCATTACTTTAACTGGTAGGGAACCCAGAACTTTCCAGTACAGCTGTTTTTTAATAGTTCATTGGGCATGTGTGTAAATGTTACAAAGAATAAAATGTATTGCTGTCTCTTTAGTATGGTTTTCAGTGCAATTAAACCAAGAAATGCCCTTTTTTTAAAAAAAAAAATAGTATTTAATAGTTTTCTGACTTTTGTGGATCATTTTGCACATAGCTTTATCAACTTTTAAACATTAATAAACTGATTTTTTTAAAGATTCCTTTGTGAAGAGCATTTTAAAAATCATTAAAGACCTTTTATTTGACTCTGTGGCTCTTTAGAATCAAGGTCAGGGCAAATGTCTGTTATTGTTTTAGAAAACACTCTATCTTTTTCAGGAAGAGAAACTTCAATATGTTAACACCGAAGAGCAGTAAAGAATGAGAAAAAAAAACCTGCCAGCCTGTAAATACATACCACATGGGAAGGAAATGTAATTGTTTGCGTTTTAAATTGCATCCATGCCAAACTAAACTAAGGCCAATATTCTTTCCCAAAACATGGGGTTTTAAAGAAGAAACACAGAGCAGTGTGGTTGTAAATCTGACTTAAATCATGAAACTCAATGGTCAGTTCAAATCCATCCACAAAAGCTTGGCTTTCTTCCAACATGCTGGGAAGTGGGGGTATGAATATGGGAGATCATATCACATCACTTACATGTTCAGGATTGGTTTCTGTCTTGGTTTCTCCCCGTCTAACCTCTGAACAATATGGGACTCTGGTATCACTGAAGGAGCGAGTGGTAGGCTGAGTTGCAGACACCTTCTGTCTGAAAACGTTCAGTCCATAGTATCTGAAAGCTTTAATGTCCCTGGTTATTGATTTCTCCAACTATAAAATGAGAGCAAGGGTACTTTACAAGCAAAACGGAATTCTTGTCCTCGTTAACGCTCGTTTTCATTGGGGATTCAATGTGAGTGTTTGTGTGTGCCTGGCCCCCGGTGCTATTGTGACTTTCAGAATGTGTGCTTTCAAGTGTCATTGAGCCAGCACAGGACACAGTTGGGACGTGAAGATAAACCTCCCCTCCTCGCGTAGCTGTCACGTCCGGGTGAAGTTCACTGTGGGAAACAGGAGTGTGTTCACTAAGGAAGCCTTGGGTCACAGCCTCCAGTTTCCTGAAGGAAATGCCAAAAAGGCTCCAAAGACAAAAGGCTGGCAACAGGCGGGAAGGTCTGTCCATCTGTCTGCCGAGGCGGAAGGAATGAGTTCATGGAACACTCACTTCCTAGGGCTCCGGACAGACCCCGAGTAATGGGAACACAAGCCTGCGCCGTGTTTCTGTGGGAGATGAAGTGGTCCCGCTCTGGGCCTTGTCTTTCTAAGCACAGCGGTGACTCCCTCCACCTGGGGGAGATGAGGTGGGGCAGCTGGCCCCAGGGTGTGTGTTTGTGGGGGGGGAGGGGGTGAAGAGGGAACTCAGGGAGGACAGCTTCACCTGCCCACTGGTGAGCCCTTAGCCAGTGATGAGAGGTACTTGCTTTTTGGAGATCCAGGACAGTGCATCCCATTCTGAGAAAGCAGGACAGTCGTGGACTGCGGTTCCCTGGGCACACGTGTGGCAGACCCCCGGCCAAGAATCAATGGCTGCGATGAAGGAATCCTTGGTTGTATCCCAACGTGGATATCTGGTTTTAATTCAGTATATCCTGGAAACTGAGGATGGAGAAAACAACAAACTAACTAAACCTCAGTAACTATATGTTTATACTAAAGTAAACATCCACCAAGTTTTGATTAAATCCCGTAGAGGTTTTCAAGAGGAGCAAGTCAGACCATCTGAGCAACACTTGACATATTCTTATAAAAACATACCACTGGCTCATAAATGTTTAGCAGAATTACAAAATGATGGCAAAAAATACTTTTTCCCCACAGCAACATTGAGCCCAATTACAACATCACAGATATTCAAATAAGAATCTTCTTGTTTTCTAGTCTCATTATATGTAGAAAAGGTTCTTTAATAAAGGTGGATCCAGTATTACTAGAATTCAAATTTTTTTTAGTAATGGGAATTTTGCATTCATGTTCATTAGATACTGGATTCTATTTTAGTAATATCAACACTTTGGTTGTGATTTCTAGCATCTCTATTCCCTCCTCCTTCCCCCAATGTAAAAAATCTTATAAAGATTTCAGCTGTGCTTTTTTTCAGATAGGATTAATCTCGGCCCAGGAAATGGCCGATGTTAACGAGGTGCCCGAGGCAGCACTCTGGTGGTACTTCTAGCCTATTCTGCACTTTGGATGATTTTGACTCTTTGCCCATCCACTCAATACATCACTGGGACCCCTCGTGTCTTCTAGGCAACTACAAGTGCAGCTCTGTTTGGGAGCTACTGCTCTGAAATAGTGACTTTAGAAATGGGCTCTTTGGGGGAAAGCCTATGAAGTGAGGACTTGCTGTTTAAGTAGATCTAAATATTAGCAATCCCATTTCAACTGAGAAGTCGGGGATAATGCTCGACTGACAACATAAAACTATTCTGACTCTTTGATCTTCTAAAGAGTCACTGGCTCAAAAATTAATCTCCAGCTAGGAACCGTTGTTTACCCACAGTATTTGCAGCACTGAGTTTCTATCATCTCTGTGTAATGTTGAGTTAGTCTTTTTTTAATCTTGTTTGCTCCACACTCAGCTGGAATGATGTTTGCTGAGGACACCTGACTGATTACCTCAAACTAGATGGATCTCATTTGTCTCCCAACTAATTAGGTCACAGTAGATAGGTCTATATTTTTCTCTAAATAAATCTTAAACATCTCGAGGAAGGCATCACAAATAACCAAAGAAACCTTTCCAGGATGTTTGATTCTCAGCCTGTGGACACCTTAAGATCTCAGTGACAGAAATCGTAATAAATTGCATCATCTCCCCCACCCTATCTTCCTGCCTTTTCGGTGTGTGCTTCACATGGTCCAGGGATGGGGACCCAAAACTTTCTTCTTCATCCACCACGGTCTTCACTGCCATACTGACCAACTAGGCCAGAGGCATCTCTCAGAACACCACACAAGTGATGTCTACTTGAATTGTGAAAAGCCTTTCGATTGTCTACAACGACAAAGGATTGTTAACCAGTGGCCAAAGGAGCTAGGAGAGATGGGATGAATATAACACTGAGCGAGGGTTAGACCTGCATTTAATTCCGTCTTTTCACAGTCCTTGACCCGAGCCGGGACCGAGGGCAGCCTTGGTTCTTGGTGAGACATCTCCCCTAACACACCGTGTCTTACTCCCTGTGCATTCTTCTTGGATTCGGACTTCCAGATGGTTCCTATTTCCCCATGCTCTCTTCCTCATCCCTTCGAGGACTGAAGGGTTAAAAGTCAGATGTAGCTATGTATAGTCAGCAGTGTGGACTGCAATTGGAGCAGGCGTTGCGACATTTTGTTTATTGTGCCCGCCAGTCAGCGTCTGCGCTGATAGTGGGTAGACACCTCATGGTAAATTCATACTATTCAGCAGTTAAAAAGGAACGACTATGGCTGCTTGGCCTCCCTTGCATAAATCTCAAAACCATTAAGTTGCGCAAAAGAAGCCAGCCAGCCACCAAAGAGAACATACTGAATGGTTCAATTTATGTGAAATTCAAGAACAGAAGAAAGTCATCTGTAGAGATAGAAATCAGCAGAGTGGTTGTCTGTGGGAGGAGGGTAAGCTAGAAGGGAACGTGAGGGAATTTTCTAGATGCTTAGTAATGTTCTACATCTTTATTTTTTAAGATGTTGTTTACATGGGTGGATTCATTGGTCTAAACTTATCCAACCATATTCTTAAGATCTGTGAAATTTTTTTAAAAAATCAATATGGTAGACTTGTCAAACTGGACAACCAATGAGTCCAGGCTGCCTGTCACTACTTGAGCCAATTCAGCAGAGACAGGGTTGAATCGTATATGAGCATTTATTCCAATACTGCTGGCAGTGTGGGGGAGCAGTAGGTCACTCACAGAAATCTGCTCTGCAGCCCCGATAAACCAGCTGCTTATATAGGGTAGGACAAGGATTATATGGGGAAGTAGGAGGCTGGGGTGGAACTCCATTGTTTGGGCACCAAGGTTGTTAATCTTTCCCTGTTAAAATTCATTTCCTGCATGAGACTGGACCACATTCGAAGGTTGACTCCCAGGTCCCGAGGGTGTACAGCTCCCTGCCAGGTTAGAATGGTCTTTCGTTAACCAGAACAAGGCAATCACGGTCCACAGAGCATGATTAATATTTCCCATAGCCATAGCTAGTCCCCAATATTCTGCTTTTGCCGTGAACACTTGCACTTTTGAGCATGCGGGCTATTTGGGACTTTCTCTGAGAAACTGTGGAACAAGGTTCCAAAGAGTTCAGCAGCGTGGCACAGAAGCGCCCCAGCGCCCACAGAGGGAGCGAACAGTGGCCAATAACTGCGACCTCTTTGCTTCTGGAGGATGAGAGCTTGGCTTAGTGTTGGTGTTTGTGCGTCGGAAGAATTTCTGTCTTGGGAGTCTTGGGTTGTCCTGAAACAGTACAAGCTTACTGAGGTTTCAGCCTTAGGGCTCTACGGTGCCTTGTAACTGACTATGAAGAACGGACTTTTACACGCTGACAGGGTTCCGACACAAACTCCTACCGGTGCGTGTGCACTGGAGTGTTCCAAACCTTGTCTTCTCACCCAGGCACGTGTATGGAAGGCATCCGGTCAGGTGATAACACCCATCCCGGGGGCAAGCCCGCCTTGTTAGCGTAACAGGCAGAGACACAGAAGAACTGGCAGACAGGTTCGCCCTCCAGTTCCCAGGCTTCTGTGAGCTGATGCCTGGTTGCCTGAGCTCAGCCCGTCTGTGGATTCCTTCCTGGGGGCAGCCCTGGGAGTCCCTGGGCAGAGCTGCCTGAGGTCTGGGGCCGGCCAGAACAGGAGAAAGGGCAGCTGCTCCCAGGGCTGGCTCAGAGGGAATGCAGTCTTATCTGCTTCCCTGGGTCCCTAATCCCATTACTGTTGCCCGTTCTGCTTTTTGTTGATACCAAGACAGAAAGAACAAACCTTGGGGAAGCCCTGGCTGGCTCCTGCTTCCCACTCCCGCCCTCCTCGGGGCACCCAAGCACCCAGCCATCCCTGCGACAGGAATGCTGGTCCTGGCTGTGCGCTGTGGATCCCGGGCCAAGGACAGGCAAGGTCCTGTCTGCCCAGACTCTCGGGATTTATGCATTCCTCCAAGTCAGGGGCTCCTCTCTTTG